GTTTCTTGATAGAATTGTTTTAAAACTAAACTTCTTGTTCTCATACTACTTCTAGTAGTTCGAGAGTTGAGCCTTTCTTTTGGTTATGGTTTTCGAGTTCATAATGTGTGTGTTCATGAGTTCCTTTGTGGGGTTTGTCCTACTTTTGTTGGATGAATTTTGCTCAGGCATAAGCATTTTGAGATAGTGTATGTGTTGCATATCTTTGTTGGTTATGGAGATTACTAATCAATAGTATTCCTTCATAGTTGAGCAACGCTCCTACCTTTTTTGAGTCTCTTGAATATGACTGATCAAGTATATTAAATGGTATCCTTACTATTCTTAGTGTGGGTAGTTGTTTAATTTGAATCTTTCATAGATTATGTGTTCTTTGCTTGGTTTGAGGTAAAGAGATAGAAATCCTTAGATAAACGATCGTCTTACGTTGAATTTTCTGGACTCTTTTGAGTTTCACGGGATAAACAAATTATCTTCGTACTTTCTTGTTTGATGGTTGCATTAACGAAATTTGCTTCATCTACGAGATTACTATCAAAATAAATATATTTTCTTTCCTTCTAATATTTCTCAAATAAAGATACTTTTCGTTTTCTTTTGTCCTTTTTTTTTTTTTTCTCTTTTCCAAAATTTCCTCTCTTTTTCTTTTCTTTTTTTTTTATTGAATGCGGCGGGCTAGGGTTAGGGTTTTCCCGTGGCAATTTATTGGGTGCACCCGAGGGCACCATACTCTCCCTCCTATTTTTTGCATTACTAGTCCTTATTGTATTTTTTTTACTTTTTCTAATAATCTTCCTATTATTTGCAAGTTTAGTCCCTCCCACTTTTTTCTCTCTCTTCTAACAAAAATCTCTAATATTCAAACGATCATATCTCTCAATCTGTGAAGAATTAGAAAACGTGTTATACATGAATTTTATTGTACTCGTCGAGATCTATCCAACAAGATCCATGTCAAATATTTTTTTCGAGTTTAAAAATGACTAAATTTCTATGGGCAGAATAAGATGGATATCTAGTTTAGAAAGATGGATAACCAGTTTAGTTTAGATTAAGATTCTTGTATTGCATATATCTCTTGATCCGTAAAGAATTAGAATACGAATTATACATGAAATTTATAGTGCTCGACGAAATCTATCCGATAAGAGCCATGTTGAATATTTTTTTTGAAATTTAAATGTATTTAAATTTTACGGGCATAAATGAAGAAATGTGTTTTTCGTTTTTCTTTGAAAAATGGTTTCCGTTGTGTTCCTACTGATTATCCAATCGGTTTGGACTGATTATCCATTCTATTTGTACTTATTATCCAATCATATTTTTGACATTCACTCTTCAAAAAAAAAAAAGAAAAAAATGATTGGATAAGCATTGCAAACAATTTGGATAATCAATAGAAAATAATTGGATAATCAGTACAACACGTTGGATAATTAGTACAAAAAAGTTTGACAATCATTTTCATAAAAGAGCAAGGAAAAAAAATACTGGATAACCACCACAAAGAAGTTGGATAATCAATATGAACACATTGGATATCCAGTTTAAGAAGATGGATAACCAACTTATTTTACATTCATAACCAACTTAGTTTAGATTGATATTCTTGTATTACATATATTTCTTGATCCGTCAAAACTTAGAACACTAACTATATATGAATTTTATAGCGCTCGACGAGATCTATCCAACCTGATTGGACTGATTATCCATTTTGTTTGTACTTGTTATCTAGTCATATTTTTTACATTCACTCATCTTCCGAAAAAAAAGAAAAAAAGAATAAAAAATAAAATATTTGGATGAGCATTACAAACAATTTGGATAATCATTAAAATAATTGGATAAGTAGTACAAGTTGGTTGGATAACCAGTACAAAAAAATCGGACAATCATTTTCATTAAAAGAGCAAGGAAAAAAAAAGTCGGATAACCATCCATCACCGAGAAGTCGGATGAATAATCAGTATGAACACATTAGACAGATTTTTTCTCAAAAGAAGAAAAAAAAAAGAGAAATTATGTTTGGATAATAAGTGAAAATGATTGGATAAGGCATACAAAACGGTTGGATAGTCAGTACAAAAAAACTGGACAAGGATTTTCGCAAAGAGTAGAGAAAAAAAATGGTCGGATAATCTATACTGAACGGTTGGATAATCAATACAAACGCGTTGGACAACCATTTATTTTTTTCAAAAAAATAATAAAAAAAAAAAAAATCAAATGGATGGATATCTAGTACAAAAGAGTTGGATATCCAGTACAAACCAAATGGATATCCAGTACAAACAAGTGGGATATCCATTACAAACAAGTTAGATAGGCATACAAATCAAAAGAATGAATATCCACTACAAATAAGTTGGATAAATATCCAGTGCATACAAACAAGTTAGATAGGCATACAAACCAAATGGATAGATATCCAGTACAAACAAGTTGGATAGGCATACAAACCAAATGGATGGATATCGAGTACAAACAAGTTGGATATCCAGTACAAGCGAGTTGGATATCCAGCACAAACAAGTTGGATAAGCATACAATACCGTTGGATTACAACTACAAAACAAGTTGGATAAGCATATAAACCAAATGGATGGATATCCAGTACAAGCGAGTTGGATATCCAGTACAAATGAAATGGATATCCAGTATAAACAAGTGGGATATGTATTACAAATAAGTTTGATAGGCATACAAACCAAATGGGTGGATATCCAGTACAAACAAGTTGGATAACCAGTTCAAACTGGTTGGATAATCAGCATAAACACAATGGATAACCAATTTAAAATGAATTGGGTTATCCATCTTTCTAAACTAGATATCCATCTTATTCTGTCCATCAAAATTTAGTCATTTATATACTTGGAAAAAATATTCGACATGGATCTTGTTGGATAGATCTCGACGAATACAATAAAATTCATGTGTAACACGTTTTCTAATTCTTCACGGTTGAGAGATATGGTCGTTTAAAGATTAGAGATGTTTTTTAAAGGAGAGAGAAATAAAATCAAAGGGACTAAACCTGTAAATTATAGGATGTTATTTAGAAAAGTGGAAAAAAGTGTAATAAGGACTAGTAGTGTAAAAAATAGGAGGGGGGGTATGGTGCCCCTGGGTATACTGGATAGAGACTCTTTTCCAGCACCCCCTTCTTCTTCTTTGGACGGCAGCCGCGACACAACAACAACAATAAACAGCAACAACTTCACACCAATCAATCCAAACCACCAAGATCAACACCAATCAACCCAAACAATGGACCAAAAGGCTATATGTGATGATGAACAACTTGAATCTTGTAAGATAAGTATGAAGAACACAAAAATGAATTGTCCAAGTGGTGAACAACTCAAACATTTTTGACAAAGACACACAATTCGAGTTTAGAACCACGATGGTATACACCAAAGATGGCTCTGATAACCAAAAATATGATCGCAACTCAAGAACAAAACCAATGCTTAAACAAGTATCAACTTTGAATATTGAATTGGACAGAATTTGCAGCGATATGATGACAAACTCGAATACTTACTTGAATACCAAAGACACAGAATAGGATGATATTTGATCTCACGTGGACCAATTCATAAGTTCAAAAGAACCAACAACCCGACTCAATCCGATGAGTGAAACTATTGAATTCCAGCAAGGCCCCTTTCTAAAATCTTACAAGAAAAGCTAATAGATATTGATCTATAACCCTTAAGTATCAAAAACAAAAGACTACGTTAATATAGACACCACTTTCTAGTGAACCACACAAGAAAGATAAGTCTTAACGATCGTCACTATTCAAACAACAACCAAACAATTTGCTCTACACAAGAACAAAATATCAGAAAAGTTAAAACCTCACAAAATTAATTCAACTCAGCTTGTAGAACTTGAGGTGCAACCCCTCCCTTTTATAGGGGTGGTTGGCCGAATTTCCAAGAGAGAAAATAGGACACTTTCCCTAATTCTACGAATTCAAAGTCAAATTAGACTTTTTGACTCCTAGTTTTCTTGATAACCAAGAAAACGAACCTAGACTCTTCCATAGACCTAATACATTAGATCTAAGTGTGAAAATAAATTAAAACTCCTATTACTAAAGAGATATTCTCGAAAAAGAAGCTTCCTCCTTGTGCCAATGCTTGGTGATAAAGTAATCTCCTTTTCTTGAGCTCCACTCAACCAATATCTGCCTTGTAGAGTATTTATTTGCATAAATAAATAATTAAAATGGAGAATGGCCGAGATTTCCCTCCTATAATGTAGGAATGGAAACAATCTTGGCTCCCTTAACCCTTAAGCTAGGGTATAGGCGCGCGCGGCTTCACTTGTGCGACCAACGGGGTGTTGGCTCTTCAACGGACCTTGAGTTGTATCTCCATCTAGGTCCATGAGTCCATTTAATTTCACTTTCAATACATTAACAATTTTGGGCTTGTATCCAGGACATTTAACCATCTCATTAGCCCATGTAGACATAACTAGATTGTTAAGAGCAATCTTCATTGTCTTGGATCTTGAATGGGTGATCGGGCCAACAATGTTAGTCAATGGATCCCTAATATAAGGATTCTTCATAATTGGCTAATTGCTGACATTCACAACCTTCACAAGTTCTTCTTCTCTAACTTGATCATCCTCTTGTTCTTTTATAGCTCGATGGTCTCCATCACCTCTCTTGGCCGAAAAATTTCCAGTAAGTTTACCATTTATAAGGAGAACTGAGCCATGGTAACACAGGTGATAATCCATTTAATGCATCTCAAAGGAAAACCAAATCTATGAAGCAAATCATTGACAAATTTCCATGTCATTGAATCATTAGCCTTTTAAGATCAACATTAATGGCCCGTCTAGGCCTTATATTTTTCCTCCCATATAAATGAACAAGCTCCTGGGCTATCATGATGTTGTGGACAATATTTTTTATTGGAAACAAAGGCCTCTTGCTCCTCTCCAACAATGCCACCAATCATTTTCTTTATTCAAATTAAATCTGCAAGTGTGAAATCTGCAGGAGTATTAGGACATGGAATTTCAGGAATATACCATATAGCAGTTGCATTCATGCCTTGTGGGAGTTTATACGAGGAAAAGAAGTCCTTGATTGATCTTGTAAAGTCTTCTCCAATGAGATTCCAAGCATCCTTGAAGACCTTTGGTCCAATTCCATCAAGAATTGGAGCATATTCATTCGAGATACTAGAAAGTGCATGAGGAATTTCCTGGTCGTCAACAGGCACGCAGAAGTCTATAAAATCCTTAGCAATGACCATTCGACCATCTGAAGCATGGTATGGTCTAGATCAGTGGTAAGATGCTCGGTATGGTCTAGATCAGTGGTAAGTTGTCGTTTACCTAATAGTTCCTGGAAGAAGTTCACTGCCTTGATGTCACAAGGTTTAGTTATAAGATTTCCTAATTGATCATGTAGAGTATTGATGGTACCCATATCTCTTCTATTCTTTATGCATGCATGAAAAAATGTGGTGTTAATGTCCCCCTCCGAATAGTGATCATCTTATTCAACTTGGTAACAACATTTTTCTCATGATGTAGAAGCGTTGAGTCAGTAGGAGAATGAATTAGTGCATCCTATCATAAAGCCTACTGTAGAGCATCATCTATTCCGTGAAACAAAGATCTTGTCATAGTGACACTCTTTGTTTCAAAGCAAATTTAAGACTGTTCAAATTCCCTTGAAGCTCAGATAAAATCTGAAAGGAGGATGGATTACTATGTGAAAAACAATTTCAAACAACTCTAGAGGAATGATACAACACACCAGGAGGAGGGAAGAGTGTGTGAAACTACATAATGGTTAACCAATTGTTGTTACCCATAATCCCTTCTAATTTCCAGGAAATTCTATGACCATTTGTTTATTTGTCAGACCATGTGAGGTAGCAACCTGTATAGAGAATGTCTGACAAGTGGCACAAAGACATAAATGTCTGTAGCTCAACGTGTCTCTAGGCAAAATCTTTTTCTATTTACACTCTCCACAATGGTTGCAATACAATTTAAATCTCCTAGTATATCCATTTGGAAGAAATAGTTGATGCCAAGAATTCCAAATCAGACCACAAGGCTACACGTTCATTTACATTGTTAAAGGCATAAATAAAAGTGACAAGGAATTGATGGTTCCAGATATACATTTCAGTGGATGATCTGGTCACTTTTTCTTTGGAGAACTTGAAGATTTAACTTACTACTATCCCAAAAAATCAATATTCTACTATGTACAAACAACTCAAAGTTATGCACAAAAAGCTATGACGGCTTACTACAGCATCTCCTTGCTACTGAGTCAATTTTGTTGACATTTATTTTAGTTTCAACTTTCAAGAACAACAAGGACTTACATAAACTACTAGACTTAATAAAGTTACAAACTTCAAATTGTTTATTAGGATCATTGAGACACCTAATATTCATCTTGCAATCTTCATATTAACTTAAACAAGAAGTTAAGAAAGGGAAGTACATCCCTTCACTTTGATCTTTCTAATACTCCTCGGTCCCTTAGTAGTAAGAGCTGTTTCCTTGATGGATTGGGCTAGAGGACTGAGAGGATTGATTTCCACATGGCCAAGAGACTCCTTAGACTCAGAGTGAGCTACATTATTTAAGGACCTGCTCGCCTTAGCAGCTGGTTCTCCTTTGTTGTTTTCAATTGAAACTCTTTGCTTCTATAGTTGCATTGACGAATGTCCTTCCAAGGCATTATTGATTCGAGGTTCACTAAGTTCAATTTTCAAAGGTTGTGGCTGATGACTAGTCTCCTGAGATGATGGTTCAATTGAGTTCAAATGTTGGTATATCTGAATAGACTCAAAATGTGGTTCATTAGCTTCTCCCTCTTCAATTTACGCAGAGTTATTAGCTACATTCAATTTTTTTTTAGGCACCCATTGTTTCTTGGTCTTGATCTTGCAATTCTTTGAGAATGCACAAAATATACACACTGAGAATATTTGGACGGAACCTATCTACTCTAACTTTTGCGTAAATTTTAATCCACATGGTCCATTCATAGCAACCTGATCAAGAAGCTCCTTCAAAGGGTCGGTTTTGACACATACACGAGCTACCATGTTGGTTTTCCCACAATGGTAGCTATTTTTTCCCAGGACAGATCGTGAGCACAAATGGAGCTTTAGGAGGCAATTTAATCCAAATTGAGAACTCAAGTATTCTATTTGACTCAGTTTCTAAGTCAGATGCCCAAGGTTGGATTATCAGAGGGTAACTACAAAAGGACCAAGGACCGTCTACAAGTATTTCTTTCATTTTATTATCGCTCTTGAATTTGAAAAAAAGAGTCCATTTTGAAACATGTGAACAGTAATAACATATTCCCCCAATTGTTGAAACATACCTCTGAATTTTTCATATTGGAGGTTTGCAATCGTACACAAATCCCACTAAATCATGTTCTCATTGATAAAGACTGGAATTCCATTGTGTTGGAAATGAGTTCAAAAATTTGAATGTGAATTTGATTTCTAAAGTTGGAAAATGAGAGTTAAGCTAAGGGAATTTGTCTCACATTGGAGTTGAGGAGTTGGAGCTCACTTTAAGTGACAGCCCAAAAGTGAAGTGCAAGTTGTCTTGCCATTACTATACTCTATATCTCCCGCTCGCGCTCGCCCGGAGGGGGGGAGGGGGGGATTGGGGGATGCAAATGGAGTCCAATTCGGAGTCAAAATAATTTGACTCATGTGTGGTGCGACCTGCGGACACGAATGTCGAACCGAATTCTCGCGAGCCTGATCAACTCACGTTTTGCTCCGATTTAGATTAATTTTTCCAGCTAAATTTTAAGGAGATCATGCTCATTCATTTCAGTCAAAATAAAATTGGAATGTTACAATTGATTTGCAGTCTTGAATGAGCAGAATGAATTGGCAGTAACTCTATTAAAAGATAGAAATGAATTTGTTTGATTGTTTGGATGGTCAAAAACGTTTTGGTTGTTTATGTGCCATGAATTCGTAGCATATAACATAATTAAAACACTAAAAACTATTTAAATTTTTGCTGTCATTTCAAAGGTTTCTCCAGCCTATAAATATGTACTTATTTTTCAGAATTTTACACACATTTCTTCCTCCTCTTCCCAGCATTCTTTTGACCCTTATTTTCTTCTCTTGTTTTGGTGTTCATCATTTTCGTTCTAAGTTCCTGCTCATTTATAGAGTTGCTTTGTGCTAAGTTCTCTCTACGTTTCCGTTGTATCCTAGGAAACAATTGCTCAAGGATCTCAAGCACCTTAGGAGGGAAAATTTGTTTTTAGGAGATCGTGTTTTCACGAGACTCGGATTTCTCTATTCTGAATTTTTCTTAGCCTTTGCAAATACTTTTCATATTTTCACCAACAATCTTAAAACAGAATTCTTCTGAATTCGTGTATTCGTGATGGCTAATACTACTAAGGTTGATGCTCTTGGTCCTGCTATTATTAGCGCCACTCCCACTGTTGTTGTACCCCGTCTTGCTATTGCTCTTGGGGTTGCGAGTTCTGCTACTGTTCCCACTGTGACTCTTGATGTGCCCAATGTTCCTACTAGCCACGTGGAAAAGCTTGAAAAGTTCAATGGGACGACTGTGACTTTCAAGAGGTGGCAACAAAAGATGTTGTTCTACCTAACGACGCTAAACTTGGCGAGTTTTCTGACGGGTGTGGCTCCTCCATTGCCTGAAGGTACTTCAGATGCACCAACTGCCCATGCATATGAATCTTGGAAACATTAGATTTTCTTTGCTGTGGTTATATTTTGAATGCTATTAATGATTCATTATATATGTGTATGAAAAATTTAAACCAGCTAAGGATTTATGGGAATTCATGGACCAGAAACATAAATCCGAGGATGCCGGCTCGAAGAAACTTGTAGTCGGACGGTTTCTTGATTGTGTGATGGTCGATTCCAAGATTTTTGATAGTCAAGTGCAAGAGATCCAATTGATTCTGCACGACATTCAGGCTGAGGGGATGATCTTGAGTGAAACCTTCCAAGTGGCTGCGGTCATTGAGAAGTTGCCTCCAGGTTGGAAGGATTTCAAAAACTACCTGAAGCACAAATGCAAGGAGATGAACTTAGAGTTTCTGATTGTGAGACTTCGAATTGAAGAAGACAACAAAAAGTCAGAGTTAAAGGCATCCAGTGGCGTACATGCTAAGGTCAATATTATGGAGCATGGTAAAGGCCAAGGTTTGAAGAACAAGGCCATGAGCAAGAACTCCAACAAAGGCAAGTGGAAGCTAGAACTACTGGTGGTGTCTCTAAGTAGAAATACAAATTCGAAGGTAACTGTTTTAACTGTGGTAAATCAGGTCAATGGTCTGCTGATTGCCGCTCCCCGAAGAAGGATCATGTAGCGAACATGGTCAATGAAATCACTTAGGATGTAGAGGACATGCGCTTGGATGCTGTGGTGACTCAAGTAAACATGGTGGAGTCCAATCCAAAGGAATGGTGGATGGATACTGGCGCGTCCAGGCACGTGTGTACCCATAGAAGTCACTTCACTACCTTTGAACCAGTCCATGGAGAGAAGATCAACATGAGAAATACTGTTGTTTTCCCTGTTGAAGGCAATGGATTTGTGAAGCTCAAGATGACTTCGGGCAAGACGCTGACACTCACAAATGTGCTGTATGTGCCAGAAGTGTGCAAGAACCTTGTGTCAGAATTTATGCTTCACAAGAATTGATTTCGCATTGTAATAGAATCTAATAAGGTTAGTCTGTCTAATGCAGGAATGTTTGTTGGGAAGGGGTATGCAACCGATGGACTGTTCAAACTCAATGTAATGACTTATGTTGATGAAATGAATACAAGTACCTCTTCTGTTTATTTGATTGAGCCTTCCAATTTATGGCATGATAGACTAGGTCATGTTAATTCTGATTCGATGCGTCAATTAATTAACTTGAACCATATACCAACATTCCAAATCAACTTAGAAAATAAATGCAAAATTTGCGTCGAAGCAAAGTTAACAAGGTCATCTTTTCAAACTATTGAATGGAGCACCAAACCACTTGAATTAATTCATAGTGATGTGTGTGATTTGAAATCGGTTCAAACACATGGTGATAATAAGCACTTTATCACGTTCATTGATGATAGCATGAAATACTGCTATGTTTATTTGCTAAAAAGCAAAGATGAAGCGTTAGAGAAATTTATTCTCTACAAACCGAAGTTGAGAATCAACTTCGTAAAAAGATCAAGAGATTGAGAAGTGATAAAGGTGGTGAGTATGAAGCACCGATTGCTGGCTTTTGTGGACAACATGGAATTGTCCATGAAGTACCTTATTGACCTCAATCTAATGGGGTTGCTGAACGGAAAAATCAGACATTGAAAGAAATGATGAATGCGATGTTATTAAGTTCAGGGCTACCTCCTTATATATGGGGAGAAGCTGTCTTGTCTA